AATAATAATAATAATAATAATAATAATAATAATAATAATAATAATAATAATAATAATAATAATAATAAAGATAAACCCGTATAAGATATTTTCCCATGTTTCATTCAAAAAAACTTTTTCCGCTACGATTAAAATTTGTTGGATTGATCGTTCGGATTGTTCCCACACGCTCTTCAAACCGGTCGAGGATCATACGCACTGGGTCTGATAAAGCATAAAGGGAAGCTTTGGCATTAGATTTTATATGATCTTTATTGGTTGAGCGAACTATAACGACATTATGCATGTCAAGATTCCAGTTAAGAAGTATACGAGCCACAGTAAACCCTGAATGTTCAGATAGTGGTTGCAATGACGCATCATGTAATAGACCCTTGAAGTCAGGCGGTGTAAATCTTGAGGGCATCCCGAGTGGACTGTACGCAGCAGTAAGAATATGGTGAGCACCGTGTATATTAAGAAGTTCTCGTTGTACCAATCCTGGGTGAAGTTCGATTTGATTAATAACAGGTAGGTAAAGGTTTCCATCACTCATTACTTCATTGATGTGTTTCTCCGCGCAGTTAGAGAGACCAATAGAGCGTACTAAACCTTTGTCAACGAGCTCACACATTGCTTTCCATGTATCAAGAAGTTTCACCGTCTTGTCAACTGCAGGAAGCCCATCAGCGTCCTTTGGGTACTTGTCATCCTCTGTTTCGAACTTAGGAGAGTGACGCCACGCCACAGGCCAGTGAATGAGGTATAAATCTAAGTAGTCTAGTCCAAGTTGTGATAACGTTTCGCGGCAAGCCTTTTCAACGTTATCTGGGTGTTGATCTGTAGGCCACAGTTTTGAAGTTAGAAACAAATCTTCTCGTTTAACTCTCCCTGATGAAATAACACGGTGAAGAGCCTTTCCAACAGCTGATTGATTGTTGTACGCCTTTGCACAGTCAACATGACGAAAACCACACGTTATAGCATACTCTACAGCTCCTTCAGCCTCAGCAGGACTCATTCGATAGGTTCCGAACCCGTGCTGAGGAATACTGTATCCATTCCTCAAAGGTAGCTTGCATGACACACCAAGCACAGGTCCTCCAAGGGGCTTAAAACTCAAGACATTCGCACCAGGCATCTTGTATGGAAATCTTCAATCTAAAGCTTCAGCAATCCACTTTACACCTGTTTTTTTTGTTTTCTTAAGAGTCTTCTAATTCTGCTTTGTACACTTTATAAAAATAAAAAAAGAAAGATTTTCAAGAAGCATTAAAAAAAAAAAAAAAACTAGTCAGAAACTTAAGGGAGGGTAACGCCACTACAAGATCTTCTATGGTGGGTATGCATTAATTTCAGGATTGGAGCTGATCAGTAAAAGTAATCACAATAATAACAATAATAATAAAAGTAAAAAAAAAAAAGATAAATATTCGTGCACCCGCATTATTTATGCAGAAACTTGCAGTGGAAAAGGTGTGCGCTCAATTAAATCTTACAGTTAGTGACCTCAGAAGGCAAGGAAAAAAAAAAAAAAATCGTTCTCCTATACCCTTTATGCATCACTTTTTTTTTCTTCTTTTCTTTTTTTTTCGCAATAATTACTGCTGCGCGCATCTTGCACCCGCGTGACCTTGAGGTGCGTCGTCGTCGTCGTCGGTGCTTGCTTGTCGTCGTCGACTAGCCTCCTTTTCAAGGTCAATAGAAGTTTCCTTCAAATTACATATCATAGCGTCGGAATGAGGTTCAGCTTGCTCAGGGTATCCCAGAATACCGCGGAGTACCTGAATTTCTTCGGGTGTAAATTCCCGGCCGACAGGAAACTTTACATGGAGTTTCACGACAAGGTCACCGCGTTCAACACCACCAGTGTTGGGGACTGGCATTCCCTCCCTCTCCACACACCAGAGTTTTGCGGGGTCCACAACACCAGTAGAATTGATAGAAACATCGCGGCCGTCAAGATGCTTAACATTTAACTTAAAACCAGTAAGTGCCTCTGCCAATGAGATAGTGTGCTCCATAAGGAGATGATCACCCTTTCGAGTGAATAAAGGATGGGGTTTTTGACCAAATATGATAATAATATCACCGGCAAGTCGAACACCTGGTATCTGGTCGCCCTCACCACGGAATGTTACATTATCCCCACGGTGCATACCCTTCTCAACAACAATTTCAAATACCTTCTTGTCTTTCAAAACTTGCTTGCCTTTGCACGTAGGACATTTGTCTTCTTCCTTCATATCTGTACCTTTTCCATTACATTTGGGACATGTCACCTGCATCTGCTGAATAAAACCGGGGCCAATGGGGCGCGTAATAACTTTCACACCATGTCCACTGCATTCCTTGCAAGTAACACTGGCATTTGGAATTTTGGAACCGGAACCCCCACATGCCTCGCAAAGACGATCACGTGTGATAGCCAACTTGATCACCTTGCCAGTATAGAATGCCTCAAGGGGGACAGGAAGTTCATGCACAATATCTTTAGGTTTGGGTTCTCCCCGAGCACGACTTCCGCCAAAGAAACTTGCAAAGATGTCTGTTGGGTCAATTCCACCACTCTCCATGTCGACACCCTTCTCACCAAATTGGTCATACCGGCTGCGTTTTTCACTGTCCGAGAGACATTCATAGGCTACAGAAACCTCCTTAAATTTCTCCTGTGCGCCTGGGTCCTTGTTCTTGTCAGGGTGATACTTCAGGGCAAGCTTCCGGTAGGCCCTCTTGATATCGTCATCAGAGGCATCCGGCGAGACACCCAAAGCGTCGTAGAATTTAGTCTCTTTGACCATCGTTTCTCTCACTTATAAGAAAGAAAGAAAAAAAAAGGGAGGGGAAGAGAAAAAAATATATATATAAGTATATATATGTAGTGATCTCAAGAACAACAACAAACTAAATTTATTTTTATCCAGCCATATATATATGAGCAACAGAGACAGTGAAAAAATGTAACGCACGCCGTTTCTTGCATATCCTCACCTTTTTTTTTTTTTTTATAAAACCCTTAATTGTCTTTTAAATAATTTTACATCCTCTTCAGAAGCCCCACAGGAAACAATCAAATCTAATACCTCCCCAACAACCTTCTTCTCAGAGTTATCAAAGAAAAGAGAGATATCTTCTACACGCTTAACACCACAGAGACCCTTGAGGAAAGCGACAGCGACAGTTCCGGGTAGCTGCTTCAGAGTGCTTAATAACCCAAGAAGAATTTCTGGTGTCATATTATTCCCAAATAATGTTCGTAAGCTTGATGGAGGAATCAACGAAACGTAACAAGAACACAGTTCTTGATTGTTTTTGATCTCGGAAAATACACGTTCAAATTCTGTGAATGATTTTGGCACCTTTAGGGTTTCTTTCGACCATTTTGATGAGGTTTTTAGGGTACGTGGGACAATGTCCTCTTTCTTCCTCTTCTCAACCGATTCTGATGTAGTCGTATTTGAATAAACGGAGGAAGGTTCTACTGATACAGTTTCTTTTGACTTTGTTTCTGGTATTGGATTCATACTTTGCACTGGTTTAACCTCATCCTCAATTACTTCAACACGTGCAGAAGTCCGTAGTGTTCCGCTTAACTTGCTCTCAGCTTCTTTCGCTTCAACTTCTCGTAAATTACGTTGCATCTCTCGCTCATGTTTTAGCTCTTCCATCTCTTTGCGTATTTGTTCTTCTCTTCTTTTTTTTATGTTTTCATCCTCCTCACTATACTTATTGGAAACAGTTTCTACTTTTGCTCTTTCCCTTGTCTTGTTATCGTTGTCAACATCATCATCATCATCATCATCATCATCATCATCGACCTCCGCGATAACAATCTTCTTTTTCTTGACAACGGAGGAAGACTTCTCTCTCTCTAGTTGCAACATCTGAGTTACTAGTTTCATCTCAGCTGTGGCACTAGCATCATTTGGTGAGAGAGCGAGAACTGCTTCAAGATCAGTACGCGCTCCTTTGAGATTTCCGAGTTTTTTTCTTGCCATAGCCCGTCGAAAGTAACCTTTCGCATAGCTATGATTCAGACGAACACATGAAGAGGCATCTCGTTCCGCATCATCCCATTTTTCCAGTTTTAAATTACACAGCGCTCGATTCCCATACAGCACATGCGCTGATGAACCATCAGGATCAAGATCGATTCCATTACTGTATGCCTCTATAGCTTCTTTCAATTTTCCAGCCTGAAAAAAATCATTACCTTGTTCCTTCGCTTTTTTTACAGGATCATCTTCAGCCTTTCCATTGGATTTTAAAACAGCTTCTTTCAGTGATGGTACAGTTCCTCTAACTGGTGGAATCATATTTTGGTTCGACAGATTAACCTTACGCTTCTTCTTGGTTTCTTGTTGCCGTTGAACCTCTTCCTGCCAAATATCCAATTCCCTTAGTTCATCCTTTAAATCCTCTGCTTGTTGTCTGATAGCACTAGCGTAATCCATGGTGCAGTCCCTTAGGTCCTTATTTGTCGCATACTTCAATAGTATAGAATTGAGAGAAAAAAAATATATATAAATTAAATTAAATAAATAAATAATAACAATAATAATAAAAATATTCAAGAAGAAATTCTTTTGGCAAAGCGCATAAGTTTTGTATATAAAGTATTCGCAAAAATCGTCTTACTTATCGTTCATTTCTTTAAGCGGTGGACAATGCATAGTTAAACAAAATGTCCATGATCCCAAAGATAGGAACATACGTTGAAAGTGGAACTCTTATAAAATCGTATGCAAGGCCAGATTCACCAAATTTTATGGCAGCACTGACAAAAACTATGCAGTGTATCCAACCAAGTATTTCAATGCTACCTATCCAGGGAGCAAGAAAAAGTGCAATAATCCATAACACAAGCATGAATCCCCCTACCCTTATTCCTTTAAGTCCAAAGGATTGCGACAACGTATCTGCTGACATAAAGGTCGACAGAAGTGTCCCCACTGCCCCGATGAGAAAAAGCATTCGCCCAAATCTAATTTTATTCCCTCCGTCCCTTTATTTTTTTTTTTTTTCACAAAATAAAAAAAAGAAAAAAGAAAAAAGAAAAAAGAAAAACATCCGCCAAAGAATAACAAAACCCCTAATAATAAATTGAAGTCGATCTCATATTCCGAGAATCCCACTTAGAAGGATGTCAAAAGTTTGGGTTAGAATAATTCTGTGAAAAGGTTTACAATGCAGGTGATCTATTAGGACAGCAAGAAGAAAACAGAAACAATGCACAGCACACTATATAGTGTGCTATCTCACTCCTCAAACCTATTACTCCCAGAATCGTCGTTAAACGTAATTCCATCACAATGCTTTCAGTGCTTTCTCTTGATCACTCTTATTCCATGACTGATCTCGGTCGAAAGCATCCTTTACAACGTTCATCACAGCAACAAAGGCCTTTCTGCGCCGAATCTCGTCTTCGTCTTTTGCATCCTGCTCAGTCTTTGCACAATCTGCATACAAACGCAGGTAATGAAGTTGTTCTCCCTGCATGCGCATTTGAAACGTAGTGACAATTGTAAAAATACACACCCACAAACAAAATGATACTTTGCGGCACTTCCTTTTGTATTCAATGTCAACTTCTCTAAGCAAATAAGGTGCTAACTGTGGGTCTCGTCGGGCATATAGATCTAAATGCTTCATAAACATGGACCCTTTTGTTTTGTGCTCCAACAAATTATAACGTCTCGAACATTGTAAGGCGCCCCTAGAAGAAATAAGAGAACACTGCAAAACAACTCTCTTCATATTACTCTGGGAAAGAAAAAGAGAGAAAAGAAAAAAACAAAAGTTTTGACCAGGGAGGATTGGAATAACTATTATTATCATTATAAAAAAAAAAAAAAAACACCATGAACAGAAGATCAACAAATTGATCACCTCCCCCAAACTCATTTTAGTCCAGATTCATATTTTTTTTAACTTGCTAAGAGTAATATATATATATATATATATATATATATATTGTAATTTACTCACGTCCTCTTTTTAGTGTGTTACTCGTCTTATTATTGATACCTGAGTCTGTGCGTATTTTTTCAAGTCTTTGAAGGAGAACCTCTTTAGTTGCGAGTGCTCTTGGTTTTGTGGCATTTCTGTATCGTGCTACTGCGCCAATAAGTTTTTTCTCTTGGGAATTACCCAGTGCTTTTGTCAGGGCCTCCACGTACACTGGTTTTTCCGCAACAGCAGCGAGCAACTGAAGATGAGAAACCTTCCTTGATGCCAATTTTTCATCAACATCATTTTGTGTTTTAAACAATTTTTTAATTAATCGAATTCCGTCATTTGCATCATGCAACCTTGCCAAAAGAAAAGCCAATATCTTGGCGTAGTCTTCAGTCTTTGCACGATCACATATATCTGACCAGGAAAGCATAGCCTTTGTCATTTCCTGAAGAACAAAATTGTTTCCATGTGAAGCCAAAAGCAGTGTAATCTCCTTGCTTGGACGCATATTAGAATTCACCGCAAATAAATCTGAAAGAGCAGTAAATACAAAGCTAGAACATAAATCAATTAGCTGCAGATCTTTTGATTCAAGACCAGCAAGTAGAAACTCACAGAAACTCAGAACAACTTTCTTTTTTGAACCCGATGAAGCAAGTTGAAGAAACGATTTTTTTGCATTAGGGTCAGAGCAGATAGACAAAGCAAAATCTCTGTCAATTATAATTAAACGGGCAACGGCCAATAGTAGTACAGAATTACCCATCAACAAAGAATGATCAAGCGTTTTTAAGGCGGTGACCAAATTCATTCTATTCTCTTCAGTACAATCTTCACGGTAAACAATACGCTCAAGTAAAGTTCCTAATGGTCCATCACAGGTCTTTCCTGGGGAACTCTGAGACTTAAGAATTTTATCACATGAATGCAGAACCACTCCTGTAACAGCGTCAACAGTTGCAATTGTACCATAGCTCACAAGAGAAATTAAAATTGATATACCGACGGGGTCTTCAATCATTTTTTCCATAAAGGGTTCAACTGCCTTCAGTAACGCCTTTTGGTGCCTTCTAGTAGATGCCTTAGACAATACAGTTTCAACATTTTTTGCTGACTCATGAGAAAAAAGAGATTCGGGGGACGATTCTATGGCATCAGCCCATTTTGTGGGCTCAAGCGTAAGATGCACCATATGTTACTACCTGAATCCAAAGAACCTAAAGAAGAGAACGCAGAGAAGTGGAAGCGAAGAAAAAAAAAAAAGATGCATTTTCTTTAGTTCAAGAAAATGTAAAAATATATATATTAGACAAACTTTCACTACCACTATCACTCCAGAAAAAAAAAAAAGAAACATTAAACATTACCACGCGGAGCCAAATAAAACAATGACATAACAAAGAAAAAAAAAAGCGAGGAACACTATGCAAACGAGAAAAAACTAGTGTTTGCATTTCTTAAAGTCTATACCACAAATCATGAAGGCGATAACAAGTCCAACGAGACCTAGTACGAGTAAAATGGCAATAGCAAGCTTGATGTTCCTTATCAACATCTTCCGTTTTAATTCACGGGCACTCGAATGAAAAAACTGAGCTTCATCCCTAAGTTGCTCCGTTTTATCACACAAATTTTCAATCCGTTCGCCCCGATCGATCAATCTGTCAAGATTCTCCAACATAATCTGTTTGGTATTATCAATTTGATCATTTATTTTACCTATTTTGTCAGCTTGGGGATTTTCATTGAATGTACGTGTTGAAGTTGCAAGAGTTGTGCAGAACTTACTGCAAACTGCAGGCGTTATATCTGAAGAACGGGGGTATCGATTCGCACTCCCAGCAAATTGACTTTTAAAGGAATCACGAATCTGCATTAGAAATCCAAAAACTGTTCGACTTTTATAATCACTACCTGAAATACAGCAGTATACAATCTCATTTTCAACCAAAAAATGGTAAACATGTGATTCGTACTGATAGCTTACCTTAGTATCATGCCGAGGAAGGCGCTCCAGCATTTTATCAATGACGGGCTTCATCTGGGGAGCGACACGATCCTCTGCGACAATAACGCGTTGAAATGCAACAAATGATGATGTGATAGTCATCTTAAATCGTCCAATCAAGACTGTATATAAAGAAACCTCAGACTACTTTTTTATTCCGTCCCGTGCTTCGCAACCACAAGAAAAAAAAAATTACCTTAGAAAAAGAAGAAATTAGGATATGAAAAATAATAATAATAATAATAATAATAATAATAATAATAATAATAATAATAAATAAATAAATAAATAAATAAATAAATAAATAAATAAATAAATAAACCACATGAACAATTTAAAGGTAAGACCTCAACCCAGTTATTCAATTCATTTCAAGAGTAATTTGTCCAAGCCTAAACACCAAAATAAAATAATTATAATTACTACAGCATGGCATTCCTAACAGACCCCCATTTGGCTTCACACAAGAAATGCATCCACTGCCAAACGATAAATTTCCTTTGAACCACTACCAATGCCAAACTCAAAAAGAATCCAAGAATATATTTTAGCTGCACCAATGACATCAGAAAATAATAATAAGAATATGCTTTCCTACTTTGGTCAATGGTAAACAAATAAATAGAAACAAATAGACAAACAAATAATCTATGGAGTTTCAAATGATTCCATCACACATACTTATCATGAAACAATTAAAGAAAATAATAATAAAACGAAATCAAATTCTCTATACCGCCGAAAGATTACCCGGCAGGACTTACGAAGTGGCAGATTCTAGAGTCCCTTCCTCTCCAGAA